GTGACCTTGGGCAAACTATTTAACCTTCTATGCCTTAATTTCTGTATCTGTAAAATGGGAATAATAATAGTGCCCATCTCACTGGGAAGTTGTGAGGGTTAAGTAAGGTCGAGTGTCTAGGACACTTAGCATAGCACCTGACATATGGAGTCAGTCAGTAAAGTGTCTCTGTTGTCATTGTGATTGTTATTTCCACCTTCTCCTTGACAGACTCTATCCCACGCTTCTGCCATCACCATTGAGCCACTTCGCCTCCCTTCCCTTCTCTCCACTTTGATCACCCTCGCCCTTTCGTTCTGGAGCCCAAGTCCCTTCTTTGGTGGGATGGAGACCTGAACCGTGGGGCCAAGGCTTCATCTTCCAGAATGAGAAGATGCCCCCTGACACCTTCCCTCCAGTGTCACCTATGTCTATATGGAGCCTGGAGGAGGGGGAAGCTCCCCTCCCTTGTGAGAGCAAGGGAGACTGACTCTCCTGGTGTGCAAGCCCCCAGCCCAGGGCCTGGAAGTCCCAGACCAGGGGTAATCTGAAGTGAGCACTCACGGTCAGGAGCGAGGCGGTGGTGGCTGGTGTTGCTGTGCAAACTGTCATAGGAGTGAGTCTGGTGCACGGACTCGTCCACTACGGCTGCCATCCAGATGGCCAGGTTGGTGGTGAGGGTGAACATGAGACCGCACCTGTTTGGAGAGGGAGAGAAGAAAGGCCAGTGAGGGTCTGGCCCATCAGGCGTCCCTGGGGGAGACAGAGAGCTGGAGAGCTAGACTAGGAGATGATGCTGGGAAGCAAGAAAGCAGTCAGGCCCCTGTGTGAACAGAGAAGTCGAGTTTGGAAGGAATGCTAAGTCTGGCCAGGGTGCCACCAAAGAGAGGGCCAGGGGGGTGTTCAGGGGCTCAGGTCCCTGCTTGCTCCCTCTCCTAGAGGAAAGCACATATAGTGCACAGCACAACCCATCCCACCAACACACAGGCACACACGTATACACAATACACATAGCATAGCACAAAGTGGTGGAAATCAGGCTGATGGAGCAAAGGGGCTTTGGTTGAAACCCCACCCCAGTGGCGGAAAGTGGACCCATGCCCCAGGTTGGAAAGCCCTCGTCTGGGCATGGGTGTTGAGCTGTGGAGCAGGCACTCACCGGGTCAGATCCAGGTGGACGTGAACACAGTCTTTAGCAGAGACCCAGAGAAAGTAAGTCTGTTGAGAGAGAGTGGGGGCGGCCATTCACTCTGCAGACGGGTTAGGCTCTGGGGTTCTCACGTCCAAACCCAGACATATGTTCTCTCTACCTCAAGAGCCCCCATCCTAGCTTACCAAGGTTTTACAAAAGGAGTCGGGAGCTTTCTCTCTTTCTATGGAACAGTTTATATAAAATAGTTCTCTTGTTCTTTCAGAGGCTGCAAAATGTTACCGGCAAACTCTTGGTGTTTTTGTTTGTTTGTTTGTTTGTTTGTTTGCAGGGTGGAAGTCAAGTAGAGTTTTGGCTGTCTAGTCAAAACACTGGAGTGAGGCCAGCCTGAGGCTGGGTCTTGTCCAAGGTAGAGAGAATCTCTGGTGGCTTCTCACCTCTCTTTGGCAACGTTTCCTGCCCCACCCCCATCCTTTGTTTCCCTGAAATACTTGCTCTCTCCCCTGGTTGCCAATAAATCCCTGTCATGGTATTTGTTGATGTGGGGGTATCTGTATTTTCATTTTACCTGAGTACTCTTCAAACCCATAACATGTAAAAGAGTGAAACAATATAAGCACCAAAGTCATAAGTGTGCTGAATTGTGGAAATCTGCACAGCAGGGGTGATGTTTCAGGAGACAGAACCCTACATGTGGTCATTCTGGTTGTGATTCAGGCCTGAGATCTATCTGATCTGGTCCCATGTAAAACCAGTCCTGCCTCGGTTCAGTCATGAGATCTTTCAGTGTTATTTATGCAACAAATACAAAATATATATACTTGAATTTGTTTGAAAAATCCCAGGTACAGAATACCCTACTTTCCTGAACAAATAGAGAACATACGGGAGGTAGCTGAGGCCAAACCAGCCATGCCCACAGCAGGACCTTCGGTTGAGAATGATGCCCTCTACTGGGCACCCAGGGAGGCAAGCCAGGCTCTAGGAGACACGGCAGCTGCCATAACCCAGACATCCTAGATGCTGATGCTGGCACTGCTTAGGAGGAAATGAAATCTCAGGGCCTCTGAGTAGGAGCTCACATTTGGATATTACTTCGTTACCAAATGCTTCCAGATTTATGGACTCCTATGATACACACTGCAGTCCTATCCCCGCCTTATTTGATTGCTTAGGGTAGAAAAAGAGTGGAGATCTCCTGACCTCATGCCAAATGTTGGCCCCTTGCACCACACTCAGGAACACTCTTCCCACCCACCTGGACGATGACAAACACGGCCTGGGTGAGAGGGTGCAGGATCTTGATGGCCGACTGGCACTCCAAGAAACTGGCATAGTAGCCAGTCTTGAAGACATCCATGACGAGAGTGCAGATTCCAAACAGCACCAGCCCGCCTGGGAATGAGGGGTGGGGGATGGGGCAGAGACCATGGTTTATAGATCTGAGGATGGATGGCTAGATGGGCGGTTGGGTGGATGGTTGGGTGGATGGATGGATGAATGGGACAGGTAGGAGGATCCAGGGACAGATGAATGGCATGGGTGGCTGGATGGATAAATGGCTGGCTGGGTGGCTGGCTGGATGGGTGGATGGTTGGATGATAGTTGGGTGGATGGATGGGTGGATGGATGGGTGGGTAAATGGATGGATGGAAAGATGAATGGGTGGATGGAAGGATAAATATAGGATTGAGTGAGTGGATGGATGGATTATCTTAATGAGCCACTATCTCTTTGGGGCTGCACAGATTGGAGGAAGAAGGGCCCTATGTAGGGCTCTTTCAGCTACAGAGGGCATTTGTTCTCTGCTGTCCATCAAAGGCTCTCCTATGACCACCTTCTTTCAATCTTTAGAAAGGGCAAGGAAGTTCCCTTCCATCTCTCACTTCATTCTTCTTCCAAGACTTTTCCCCTTCCTCTTCTCTGCAACCAACCACAGCCCATCTCATCCTCAGCTACATCTAGTCCCCAGGTGTGTGTGTGTGGGGGGGAGTACTTCTCAACCCCCCTACCTTGATGCGCACTCCACAGTTCCTCTGAGAGTCCCAGCCTCTGGCCCCCCGCCTGCCGCCCCCTTCCTCCCCGCCCCCACCTCCCCGGGCACCTCGGAGCCAGATGGGGCCTGCGTGCGCGTCCCGGTATGGGACGGCGCCGGGGCAGCGCACGGTCCGGAACAGGTAGAAGAGGGTCCAGAGGGAGGCGAGCAGCATCATGGCGGTGAGCAGCGCGAACACGTCGGTGTCGTACACCGCTACCTTGTTGAAGGCGCCGCCGCTGATGAGCGTGCAGGCGAGAAGCAGCACGTTCACGGCCAGCAGCACCGACAGCAGGCGGCCGCCCTTCTTCCACACCTCGCGGGAGCCTGCCCTGGGCGCCGGCGGGCTCTCCTTGGGTCCCTGGGCCAACTCCTCGGACATGGCAGGGGCGACTCGGGGAAGTTGGAGGGGTCACTGTGGAGGAGGAGCGAACAGGACCCCGGGTCAACCCAGAGGCCTCTCCGACCCCTCGGGTCTCTACCTCCAGGGCAGACGGAAAGAAAAGCGGCTGCAGCCAGGCTGGATCCCGTCTTAAGCCCCCCACCCCCCCCCACCCCCCGCTCCCCAATCTACTGGCCATCTAGTCCCAGCACCCACCTGGCTGGGCCGAGAGCCCGCGCTGAGCTGGGGGTCAGGGGGTGGCGAGTGTCTCCTCTCTCCCACGCCGGGCTGGACGGGCGCTTTATACCGGGGAGGGCAGGGTGATTTACAGCCTCGGGAGCTCAGCTCCATAAATCGCTCAGCCCCACTCACATGATCCATCTTTCCTCCGAGCTGAATTTAGGGAAGAGCGCGCGGGAGCCAGATAAGGTAAGATTTATATTTACCCGGTAAGAGGCGCCCCCTCCCCCGCCGTCCCGACACCTGGGAGCTGCACCGCCTGGGCGCAGCCCCGCACTGCGACACCCAGAGGGCACCCCGCCCCGGCGCCCGCCGCGCCCTCGGGCCCCGCGATCCCGGCCGCCCGGAGCCCGGACCACTGATGTTCAGTGGACGTCCCAAGGGCCCACAGACCCCCCGACGCCCTCCCAGCCCCGGAGCGCCCTATACCTTTGCGCTCCTGTGTTGCCGCCCCAAGATCGGGACCCCAGTGCCTGTTTCCCTGACACCCTCACAGTGGTCGAAGTTCCTTCTTCCTCTATCCCTCCCCGCAGTCTTCTGCTCGGCTGGAAGCTGCAAGTCGGGCTTGGGTATGAAGTTCGGGAGAGGCGCCCCGAGTCCGCGTCCAGTCTTCTAGCGCCCCCTGCTGGAGCGCGGCTCGCCGACCCTGCGCGGGCGCGTGGCAGCCAGGACGCAGGGCGCTTCTCGCCGTCTGGGCGTCGGTCCTCAAACCCCTCCTAGGCCCACTGTCCTAGGGATCCAGACTGCCCTCAGACACCCCACCCCAGCCCTCGGCCCGTCCCTTCGACGGGTGGAGCCATCGGGAGCCGCAGAGCCGGGACTCCAGTGAGGACAGACCCCGGATTGTCCGCAGACTAGGCCTCACGGGGCATGATGCTGGGGTGACCACTTTTGGAACCAGGGCAGGGCCTTGCGTGGGTCACTCTTGCGCGCTCGGGTGCAAGGTGTTTAGGACCCAGGGGCAGCCCGGGGGCGGCTCCCTAGGCAGCGGGAGATCCTTCTCTGCTCCCTCCCTCCGGGGGCAAGCGGCTCAGATGTCGGAATAGCGGCGGCTCCGGCGCTCCGCAACCTCCGTCTGCGGCAGCGGGGGCTGGCGGCCCCGGCCCCTGCCCGGCCCCCTCCCCCAACCCCATGCCTCAGCCCTAACCCCGCCGCCCTCCCCCGCGGGGGGCATTTCCCCGTGCCCCCTGCCCTCCCCGTCCAAGTCAAGCGCCATGAACGACCAGTACCACCGGGCAGCCCGGGATGGCTACCTAGAGCTCCTCAAAGAGGCCACCAGGAAGGAGCTGAACGCCCCCGACGAGGATGGCATGACTCCCACCCTTTGGGCTGCCCACCATGGCAACCTGGAGTCGCTGCGCCTCATCGTGAGCCGAGGGTGAGTACCCACTCTGGCCCTGCCTCAGCCGGGTGGTGGAGGGGGAAGAGGGTCCTAGGCCCCCTCCCGGACCCTGAGACGCACTCCCCAAGACTCCAAGGGAACTTCCCCCCACTCCTCTGAGCCACCCTCTTCTCTACTGAGCCTAAGGTGGAAGCTTGGAGCCTCACAGTGGTGGGAGGGGGACACAACTTGAGGCATGTGACACTGGTGACCTGGATGTGGGGCCAGGAGGGGAGGGACTGGGATTTGCGGGCCCATGATTGTGGGAGGGGCTGCAGAGTGAGGGGAAGGTGGGAGAGATCTCCTGGGTTGAGTGGCACCTGGAAGCGAGCGTGGGGATGGGAGAGAAGAGGCAGAAGTGGTGCCAGGCAGGCTCCTTACTACCCACTTGGGGTCCAAAGGGCTCCCCCAGCCAATACTGCACCTCCTTCCAGGCCCGGGCTCACACAGCTCTCTCCCAGCTCGTTCTCGGGATTTATGGGCACTATCCACAGCACCAAATGTCACCCAGCGCAGCCACCTCATTAACTCCCTCTGTGCCCCTCCCCCTTAACAGGCTCCCTCTCCCTCCCATAGGAGTTGTTTGGGGGGAAGAGCAGGCATAGAGTCCAGGCATAAGAGCCAGGGAAGGGGCCTGAAGGTATCCGAATTAAGGAATTCGGGGTCTGGGGCTGCTGATGCGGGCTTCCCAGGGCTGAATGACACCGTGGACAACTTGCCCAGTGTCCGCAGTTTTATACAGAGAGGTCGCCTGGTTGATCTGGACACCTAGGCAGCCTGGCCAGGGGAAAGGAGGGGAAGACGTGCCCCAGCAGGGTTACTATGAACGTCTCAGGCCCTGGGAAATCACGGTGGAGGGAAAGGGGCCCAGCTGGCCCCCGTGCCTGATGCTGGCCTGTGGCCTGAACATGTGATGGGCGTGGGGGGGTGGCTGGGGAGCCCCCTTGCCCTCCCTCTGAGGCTGCTCCTCAGGCCGGCAGCAGGTGGGAGCAGCCCCTGAGACCACGCAGCTGAGCCACGTTCCAGGAGGCCAAGGCTGGCCCCTTCTCACACCAAGACAGCACCCAGTGATCTTGCCATCCTGCTCCCCCCATCAGAGAGGTCCGTGGGGAAAACGGTGCCTTCCTGGTGCCCCAAGTCCCCCAACTCCTACAAACAGCAAGGGTTGGTGTTGGACGGGGCGTGGGCCAGATGCCAAGCAGCTCCTTGCCACATTGTTCTGCAGGACTTGGCACCAGTGGGGGAAGCGTGGAGGGGGTGATGGGGGGAGCTGTTGAGACAAGGGGGTGATTCTTCCTCCAGCCTTGCGGGGTGGCCTCGTGGCCTCATTAGTGTGAGGCAGAGGTGCTGAGCTAGGCCCCTATGGGAGGGGAGAGCTTGGAGAAGCCAGCTGGGGCATGCCCAAAGGGGCACCATCTGGTTGTGGAGGGTGTTGGAAGGTGCTGGGTGGGTCCCCTGGGCATACCCAAGCCGGCCTGCCCGATAGGGCTCCCAAAGATGGGGCAGCCCCCGGGAAGGAAGGGCTGCTGGGCCCAGGTTGCAGACTCGCCGCCTCCTCCTCTTCATCCTGGCTGCCCCCACACTCCCCTCCCAGCCCAGGCCAAGACCCGACACCTGCTGTCACACGCAGCCATGCCAGGCCTGGCCCTGCTCCCTGCAGACTGACACACAGGTACACGCTGGCACACACACTCACCCAAGGCTCTGGCTCAGCACCCATCACCCTCTCCTCCTCTTTTGTGGGCACCCCTGCACCCTCAGCCACACTCACCACCACGCCTGCCTAGAGACCCAGACTCGCCCTGGGCCCACCACCTCTCTGGGCCAGCTCCCCACTGGGCTCCATGAATAATTCACTCCTTTCTCTCTGGGCATCAAATATTTATCCCCAGAGATTCCCAGCCATCAGTGCTCTTGGGGAAGGCCCCGCCCCGGCCCCGCCTTTTCTGTCGCCCCACCCCTTGCGAGTCTGGGGCCTTTTTTTTTTTTTTTTTCCTTCTGGGCTCTGTCTAGGCCTGTCTGGTGTCCCCTGAGCCAGAGGACACCTCGGGCCCCCATGTCCCTCTGGTGTGTCCGAGGGGCAGCTCACACGGGCCGGGAGATGCCTACACCAGCAGCCAGGGCCGCCTGCCTGCCCGAAATTGCGTTTGGTTCCTCACCCTTCCTCGCGTGTCCTCCCTGCAGGGGTGACCCAGACAAGTGTGACATCTGGGGCAACACGCCCCTGCACCTGGCAGCCTCCAATGGCCACCTGCACTGCCTGTCCTTCCTGGTGTCCTTCGGGGCCAACATCTGGTGCCTGGACAACGACTACCACACGCCGCTGGACATGGCCGCCATGAAGGGCCACATGGAGTGCGTGCGCTACCTGGACTCCATCGCGGCCAAGCAGAGCAGCCTCAACCCCAAGCTGGTGGGCAAGCTGAAGGACAAGGCCTTCCGCGAGGCGGAGCGGCGCATCCGCGAGTGCGCCAAGATGCAGCGCAAGCACCACGAGCGCATGGAGCGGCGCTACCGCCGCGAGCTGGCCGAGCGGTCCGACACCCTCAGCTTCTCCAGCCTCACGTCCAGCACCCTGAGCCGCCGGCTGCAGCACCTGGCGCTGGGCAGCCACCTGCCCTACTCGCAGGCCACGCTGCACGGCACCGCCAGGGGCAAGGCCAAGATCCAACGGAAGCTGGAGCGGCGCAAGCAGGGTGGCGAGGGCACCTTCAAGATCTCCGAGGATGGCCGCAAGAGCGTGCGCTCGCTCTCGGGCCTGCAGCTGGGCAGCGACGTGATGTTCGTGCGCCAGGGCACCTACGCCAACCCCAAGGAGTGGGGCCGCTCCCCGCTCCGGGACATGTTCCTCTCGGACGAGGACAGCGTCTCCCGTGCCACGCTGGCGGCCGAGCCTGCCCACTCGGAGGTCAGCACCGACTCAGGCCACGACTCCCTGTTTACACGGCCCGGCCTGGGCACCATGGTGTTCCGCAGGAACTACCTGAGCAGCGGGCTGCACGGGCTGGGCCGCGAGGACGCGGTGCTGGACGGCGGGGGCGCGCCGCGAGGCCGGCTGCAGAGCTCCCCCAGCCTGGACGACGACAGCCTGGGCAGTGCCAACAGCCTGCAGGACCGCAGTTGCGGGGAGGAGCTGCCCTGGGACGAGCTGGACCTGGGCCTGGATGAGGACCTGGAGCCCGAGACGAGCCCACTGGACACCTTCCTGGCCTCTCTGCACATGGAGGACTTCTCCTCCCTCCTGCGGCAGGAGAAGATTGACCTCGAGGCACTGATGCTGTGCTCTGACCTTGACCTCCGCAGCATCAGCGTCCCCCTGGGGCCCCGCAAGAAGCTTCTGGGGGCCGTGAGGAGGAGGAGGCAGGCGCTGGAACGCCCACCGGCTCTGGAGGACACAGAGCTGTGAGTGTCCTGGGCTGTGGGGGATGGGAAAAGGGGTCAGAAGGCCTTGTGGGTGGGATCTGCCTTTTCAGGAATGTGGAGGCGAGTTAATACCATATTTCACCAAACCCAAGTCCCGTATCAATTACAAGAGGTTCCGCTTAATTTGTTTACCCCCAATTCTGAGCAAGAAGCTTCAAGTTTCATGACAACAGGAGACCTTATCACAGCTAATGTAAAACGTAAAATGCACCTTGACTTTGGAGATAATCAAAACGCCCCCAAATGGGTGTCTTAGTACGGATGAGATACAGTAGTCGTAGTAGGCACAGCTGGGATGTTGTCACAGCTGGGATGTTTTGAGCCCTTCCATCTACTGGGTGCTGAAGATACCCCTGCACATGTCTTCTTTGAGTCTTTCCCAGCTCCTGTGTGCAGGGGCTATATCATCCCCATTTTCCAGGGGAGCAAATGGAGGCTCAGAGGGTTTGAGCAGCTCAGCCCAAGGGCCTGTTGCTGCTTGGTGCAGAGCTGGGCTTGATCCCTGGTCTGTGTGGCTCTAGAGCCTGGGGACTAGGTGACTTCCATAGGAGGAGAGTTGTCACGTTCAAAAGCTGTCAGGGAGAGTTCAGGTCTGCTACCGCGCTTGTGGCCATCCCTGCCCCCACCCCCTTCTCAGGGCATCCCCCAAGCCCAGCAAATGCTGCTGCCCCCTTTTGGTGTCTGTGGCTTTTACCCTGCATGGCTGGACAGGGGTGGGTGTGGGGAGGCAGCCTGGTTTAGAGTTTAGGGGATGGGGAGGCGAGGCTAGTGTCCCCTCCCTGACGATCGGCCTGACAGGAGAAGGTAGTCGTCCAAATAGTTGGTCTTAGTTTAAAACGCTGTCTTGAAAGGCCTTACCTGAAGTCCGTTTCTGTGTCTTTCTCTACAGATAACAGGGGGCTCCTCTCTCCAGACCAAAATGAATTGCAAGTTGCCACAACCCACCGTGAGGACACGAAGTCCTCGCAGTCGCCAGCCCTGAAGCCCCTGGCCCCTCCCCAGGAGCAAAGACTGTGTGGGTTGTCTCCCTTGAAAGCCTGTCCACACTCCACAACGCAGGTGTAGCCTGGAGGTACCAGCAAGGGATCCGGGAGCCCTCAAGCCACTCCCATCCGAATGGCCCTAAAGGACATGTGGATTCCTGGGAGGCCAGCCCCAGAGGAAGGGCAGGGGACCCCCTGGGCCCCAGGCAATAGATGACATGCCCATTAGAGCTGAATGGGAGTGTGTGTGTGGAGGGGACATGGCCTGTCCCAGGGGCCACCGTCTCCCCCCACCCCTCCTCCGAGGTCCTGTTGCGTTCAGGCTGGAGACTTACTCACTTCTTACATTTTTGTGAAGGGAAGAGTTTGGGCTGGCTCCCTCCCCTGCCCCCATGCACGGTAGAGAGGAGGTTCCTGGCTCGACTCTTCAGCCAAATGCCCTGACTTTGGTCCCCACTCCTGCCCCGAGCCAGCCCCCTCTCCTTCACCTACTGGCCACGCCCGGGGAGTTGGAGCTCCAGGCTGGCATGAAGTAGGGGTGACTGGCACCCTCACCAGCTCCCCTGGTGGTGGGGGCCGGCCTGACTCTGCCCGCCTCACCCTGCCTCCAGCCTGGTCCCCCTCCAGGGACCCCAGAGAGTCGGGGCAATAGATGCAAGGTGCTAGAGCAACAATCTGCAGTATTATGGCCCTCAGGCATGGCGGGCGTGCCCTGGGCTGGAGGAAGGCATCTGCCAGCCGCCTCAGCTGGGTGTCTAGCCTAGTATGGGCGAGTCCTGCAACACGGAAGAGCCAGAGGATATGGATAAGCTAAGCTGCTGACTGTCCCCAGGTCCCCAGGGCCCTGCGCCTGTGTGTCTGTGCTGGGGGTTGGTTGGTGGATTTCCCTCCAGGTCTGGAGGCGGCAGGTAGCTGCGAGGTTCTGCATAGGCAGAGGTCAGCACGTGTCCCTGCTCCGTGATGGCGGTGAGACCAGGCGGGAGGCCAGCCCCAGAGGGTCCTTGGACACGTGTCCTGAGGCATGTGTCCTCAGTTTTCCAGTTATCCACAGACTGAGGTCACAGATGTGGGAGAGTTACTCAGGGGCCCCCTCACCCTCTGTCAGCGGTGGACCCGCATCCCTGACCCTCAGCTTAGGAAGCAGCTCCTGCCGGGGAGCACCGCCACAGCCCCCATCTCTTTCCTGGGCCCCCTTGGCCGGGCCAGGAGGTGAGGGAACCCCCAGAGAATGCCACAGACCTCCCTCTGGGGCGCCTGTGTCTGTGCCGGGGGTGGGGGGCATAGTGGAGGTGGTTTCCGTTCCCACAGGGAGGGCTTGGTGGCCTGTCGCTGCCACCCGGAGCCCACGCCAGTCCTTTGCCCTGTTGTCGGGGCCTGGGCCTGGGGCCGCCCCCAAGTGCCGACTCAACTTTTTCAGAGCCCCAGGTGCTGCCCTTTCTCTCTTGTTCCCTGTCTGTGTCCTGCCTCGGCCTCCTCCCCGTTCCCCCAGTGGCGGGTGGGGCAGGCTCTGGGATTACCACTGCCGTACAAAGTACCCCTCCTGCGGGCTCATTATAACTTTTGTAGAGAATGTTCTGTATCCTTATCACACCTGTGTCTCCTTCTTTAACCACTGGGGGGTGGGAGAGGGACCTGGTCCTTGCGGGGGGGCCCCATGGAGGCGGTCGAGGGATGGAGGGTTGGGCATGCCCCACCCCCATGCATCCCTGCAGGGCCTTCTCTCATCCCTGGGCCTTCACCCTGCTCTCTCTGGGCCCCGAATTTGGAGCTGAGGGAGAGAGAGGGTCCAGAAGAACGGGGACGGGAGACCGGAAGCTGAATGAGGGGGATGGTCCAGGCTCCAGCTCTGTATCCAGGGCCTGTAGCTGCTGAGGGCAGCTTTCTCCCTCCCCACCGGCGCCTGCCTGGCCTTCTCCAGACATGGGCAGAGGCTGTACCTAAGGAGGCCGCCACCCATTATCAGGCCCCATAAGCCCTCATCTCAAGGCCCCAGCCCACCCTGGGAGGCCGCCAGTGCAGGGGTCCCCATTTCCCTCACCACCCCAGGCAGCTCTTGGGGCAGCCCTATTTAGAGCCCTCCTTTCTCCCGAGGTAAGGCTTCCCCTTAAGTTGTAGGATGATGGCCTCTGTTTGCTCAGTCAAGTCTGAGAAAGGGCCCTGGAATCATTTTATTTCATTCCCTAAGGATGCTGGGTCAAGTGCTTCTGCTAAAGGGAGTGAAAGACAGCGCTCTCCTTCTCTCATCACTCGGTCCAGAGGATGTCCCAGCGGGAAGGTTGCTTAGCAACCATCTGGGGTTCTAGGTGATCTCCATCCACTTTACAGATGGAAAAACTGAGACCTACCAAGGGGAAGATCCGGACCCAGAACACAAGCCTCCTGACTGCTGCCACACTTTCATGCCCCCCCTCCCACCCCGACCCCAGGCTGCTAAGGGGGGAGCGGGAGGTGGGATTCTATCCTCTGATGCTCCACAGGGTTGTCCACCCTGCGACCCCTACTGGCCATCCTGGTCACTGCACCTACCTCAGGAAAGACGGGCCAGTCCTGCGCCGATGTTCCCAGGAACAGACATGGGGGTGAGGACTGAGTAACAAGACAGCAGACGGGAACTTCAGCGTAGAGGCAGGGGCTAATCCGAAGCACTGGGGGCTGGGGTCTCCATGGGTCAGTGTGGCCCGAGGGTGGAAGCCTGAGGCATAGGAGCAGGTGCAGCTGCAGGAAGTCTGAGGGGACTTCAAACACAGCGAAGGGAAGAATTTTACGTGGTAGAGGTTCAGCCCTCTCGACCCATTCCCCTTAAAATTTAGATCGGGCTTAGGGAAATTCTGAAAGTTTAGAATAATCCATTGCTCTTAGCCTTCTGGGATTAGAATCTGTTAATAGTATGGACATTTTCCCTGGAAAAGTGCACACCGGGCAGATGGATGCTCACATACAATTTCGCTCCTAATTCCAGGCAGTTCCTGGAGCTCCGAGAGGCCCAGGGACCCCATGTTAAGACGCCTTAGTTAGACTGCTCTGAAGTCACATCATAAACGGGATTACTAATTCGATGGAGATGGGGGTGTCAGAATGAATCAGAGGCAGGAGGGGCCTCTGGGGATGTGGCACAATGTCATTTTATAAATGAGATAACTGAGGCCCAGAGGGCAAGGGCCTGGCAGTAGATACCAGAGCCGCCAAGTGGGCAAAGTGGCACTAGGTCTCCTGATGCCCTTCCATGATGCCAGCTGCTTCCTGTCCCCATGTTAGACCAGTCCTGGACAGCACGACAGCCCTGTGCTCCCTCGCCTCTCTGAGACAAGCCTGGGTTGTCCAGAACGTGGCAGGACTCAGGAGACAGCCAGATCTGGGCAGCAAAGCTGGCACTGGCCCTTCCCAGCTGTGTGGCCTTGAGTAAGTTACCCAGCCTCTCTGGGTCTATTTCCTCAAATGAAATAGGTGCTTATAACTTATTATGCTCACAGCGTTAACCCCACAGATCATCAGGAGGGGAAAGGATCGTGCAGCGTTAACACACGAGAAAGCACTTAGCCCACTGCCTGGTATTCAGTACACGTCGGTTAGTAATGATCACAGTTATTGGTGGTTTTAGGCCCAGGAGGTACTCACTGCATCTGTGACCCCCTAACCAGGAGGTGAGTCCTAGGCCTTTCCAGGGGGCAATTCTGAGTTCTTGAGCCCCATATGCCACCCCACCAGCGCCTGGACACAGCACAGAAGTCATCCTGATCCAACCAGATAGGGGCATTGACGACCCAGCCACTGGCTAAGGAATGGTCAGCTAGATAAGGATGGGCGAACCATCGGTGGGAGGGGCCCTGGAGAATGGAGGTTGTTTCTGGGCTGCCCAAGGAGCTGGGCATTTTTCCTGGAGGGACAATCACAGCCCCATTGGCCTGGCCTCATTATGCACTTCCTGAACATTAGAGTTTATCACAAACTCTCCCCTATTCCTGTGAGGTAGGTAGGTGAGGAGGTTTTAGCCTCACTCCAT